TGATTCTCTTCAGGTACATTGAATATAGAGAACTAAGAATGCCTTAAAGATTTTGAACTCTGTTTAAAGCACTTCTATGACAACAGTGTACCTGCACTTTGGCAAGGAGAGAGGCTAAAAGCTGTTTAATTATTTTATGGTTTGAGCTGTTCTACACTTCTTCAAATGTTTGTGGTTTTAATGGCAAATGTCATCTCTGTGTCAGCTTTACAAAGTGCAGCAAATACCTTAAACCATGATGGCAGTTATTAAGAGCAGAGGTGTGCTGTCACAAAGAAGGAAGTCTGCTTTCCAGGAAATGATCTGGGATCTCTACTAACTGGAAAACCCTATGGGCTTGGCTGAAAATGCAGCACAAACTTTCAGAAGAAGCTGGGGGCCTCAAAGACCTTTCAGAAACCCAGAGCCATGGGCTAGAGTGCAGGAAAGAAGCCCTGAGTGCATGGGCAGATAGACACTGCACCTTGCAGGGACATATGCTGAGGTTCTGCTCGCTCCATCATTTCTTGGTTTAATCATTGACTGAAATGTGTACAATCCCCCTTGGAGCAGCACCTCAGGCTCCTCCTGCTGCTCCCTGTGTGCCTGGCCATCTGTTGGGAATACACGGGGTGCCCTGCTCATACCATCCCCTTCACCAGGAGAGGAAATCTGTGCTTTCAAGGCTAGGACAGGCTCTGATTTTCAGACCAGAGGAGTGCCTTAAGGAGAAGAGCACCATATGGCTGTCTCTGTACTCTAGGTATCAGTGAAGAGTTTGTGGTGGCATGACCTGAGGACAGTTTTCACCGGGAAACTTTGATGCTAAGGTATGCTCAGCACGTCAGCAAGACATCAGCATCAGGGTTTGCTGATGTCCTGAACTCAGGCACCTGCTGCTGGAGTTGCACGCCGAGGCACCAGGATGTTATTCCAGCCCTCTGTCTCCTTAAGAGGTTTTAGGTATCTCAGAGGAGTGCTTGCAAATGCTTGCAAAGTGCTTGCTTGGCCTCAGGGGCCTCAGTTCCTCCATAGGCAGTGAAAGGGGAGAAGGATCCTGCAGAACAGCCCAGCCCAGCCCTCCTACACCCTGCTCACGTCAGAGGATGCCACAGCCACCGGATCCAGCACTCACAGCTGTCCCCTGGAAATCCCTGCCAAAGCTATTCTGGAAAATTATCTGAACATTCCACAATTGTTCCTGGAAAGACAATGCTGAATCCCTTCAAGATACCTGGGAGGAGAGCTCACAGGGGCACACCTTGGCCAGAGCTGCCACGCCAGCAGCCCCATTCCCATACCACAGGTTGTGCTCTTCCAGAAATGAAGTGGCTCCGATATCTGGGCTCTGGTCAGCACCTCCCACTATGCCCAACAGAGCCCTGGCAGATGCACAGCAGAGGATTGCAACAGAGTCCTTCTTACTCATCTCTATTTTCCTACATTAATCTCTGCAGTCCAATCAGAAGCAGTTCTCCAAACGAAGTTAAGCAATATCCCAGAGAACTTTAAGAAATGACTCTTATCATCCCTCCTGAGAGTAGACTCAATGGTCAAGGCCACAGTGAAATCTTACTTTTCTTGTAAAAGTTAACCGAAGTTAGTTATTAAAGTGCTGCTGGTATTTAGGGAGGCTATGAAATGAAGAGCAGCACAAGATACCTGGGTTGCCTCTGAACAATTCAAGGATATCTTTTTCTATACAATCATTGTGTGGTTTCTTCTGAGGAGCTTCATAGAGAACACATCAGGTAAGATTTTGGCTTGCCAATCAGGATATGGGATATGTGAAGTAATGCTTATAAACAAAATGCTTCTAGACATATTGTGTAAAATGTGAGAGGTTCCCTTGTGGAATTTATTTGTGTTTTTCAAATGTTTATATTGTGGAGATATAGAAGTTGTAAGTGTGTATACGCAGACTGAAAAGTGGGGAAAAAAATGTTAATATTTAATTATTCTGTTGAAGTTACCAGATTTTTGAGTGCTACTTAGTCAATATTTAGGATAAATCAGTAAAAAGGAGGAAGCATGTCTCAGCAATATGACATCAGACCATGCATTTCCAATGGTTCACAAATGCAGGAGTTCAGCAAGGGATCTGGACTTCTTAGTGTGAGAAATGGTAATGCCAGCAGTGAGCATGGGATCGGAGGCTGTATGGAATTCAGCTGAACTAGAACCTTACTTTGGGTTTGGATACAGATCTCATCTTGGTCAGGAGGGAGTGAAAGCTGTTAGTCCGATAGCTGTGCAGTGTGAGCTTGGTGTGTGCCCCTTCTCCCCATGGCTGGATGGACACTCTACATAAGTCATCAGAACTGCACTGATTGGCATCTCCCAAACAAGTCCAAGGGCTTAATAATGAGAACTCTCCAGAAAGGCAGCACACACCTCTCCTTTACAGGATTTGCAGAGAATGGGATCCTTCACTACACTGCTACTTGCCACAGTATCTATAATATCTCAAAAACATCTCAAATAATGGTGCAGACAACCATTACGAAGGGCACCCTATCTTTCTGAATGTAGCTGTGAAGAAAATGAGAGTGAGCAAGAGGAAAGCAATACAGACTGAAGTTATAAGTAGCTGATAGCTTTGGCAGCCCAAGGAAAAAGGGAAGAAGATGAGAAAACCTGGAAGGCAGCCAGCAGCAGTGATCACAGAGCCACAGCAGGGTGGGTGCCCAAGGTCTCACCTGACCTGCCTACAAACAGGTGGAAGGCACCACTCAGCCTACTTTGGGTACTCTCAGGCTTGCTGGGCTAAATTCAACGTGGAGAATACCAAGTGGCATCACAATCTCCAAAGCAGGCCTATGTCCACATCGTTCTGATGAGACCTCCATGCGATGATCCAGGAATCCTTTTGCAGGGCTCAGCCAACCACCCAAAGCTAGCCAGGAGGAGGGTCACTGAACTAGGGTTTCTATCAGGAAAGAAAAAAAGACATGCAAAATCCTTACACCTTCAACAAGACAAGTACTGATAAAACAAAGAATATTTGGGGCAGAAGATTCGGTATGAGGAAGGAATCAAGGCTGGACAAAGGGCAGAGTGACAACCAAAGCATTCGTGAAAGCTATAGCAGATGCTGAACTGGGCAAAATCTGAAATGAAAGAGTAACCCACACACTTCTTTTATTTGTATGGCTTATAAACATTTCAAAGAATACAAATAGGACATCTTATACCCCACAATGTAATGACCAAAACTGTTCAGCAAGTTCTTCTCAGTGATGTGAGGTCTGAAGGACTGGTACACAGACTGGGAAACAGAGCAATTCTACAGTCTTTGACTGATGAAACTTCTTCCTGAAAATCTACATACATCGAGGCTTACCAGAAAAAGAACAAAATGAAGCAAGTTTTTCATTTCATCTGCCTCTGGCTTTGGCACCAAGCAGAGGGAAGGTTGATAGCACACAGCTACAGGATCAGGATGTGATTTCTCTGGCCAGTTTTAAAAGGCAGGATCAGATGGTAAACATGTTAAACTCATTGCCTAAATTTGGAATCTTTTTGCGGAAAAAATAGTATATCCACATAAAGCAGCATGTATAAGACATTATTTGGGCTTCTTAATATTCACAAATTTCCCCAGAATAAACTAAGAGAAAACCCAAACTAAATTTTCTTGAGGTAGGACAGTAACAGGCCCTGAGCTCAAGCAAAGCAGCAAGCTTCAGAGTGGGATTCACATTTTAATGCAAAAATTGTCACAGATAAACAGTTTTCTACCTGTTCATAGCAACGCACACCACCTTGTGCTACGTGGACGTGTGTCCTGTGTCCTGTGACACGTCCAGATATTATGTCCACAGAAGCAGAAGTTAGACGTGCGCGTGGGCTGCGTCAGTGCAATTTAGTCACCACACCTGGGTGAAGAAAGGGTGCCCCATCTGGGGCTACCAGCAAGCAGCAAGGCAAGATGGAGCATTTGTGATAGGGGAGAGAAACCAGAAATGCTCTGTTGTCAGTGTCATGAGATGTTGTTCCTGCCTAGGACTGGTACTGCATTAAATATTTCATGGTGACTACGGCAGAGATAAATGTTTTCAGGTAATTTTAACATGAGAAGAACATGAGGCACTGAGGGAAACATAACTGAGCACTGGACAGCACAGTGACAGAGCCAACTAATTGCTGAAAAACCCAGTGGTACCAACTGCAACCAGCCTCCCATCTCTGCACGTGCAACACAGGTGTCAGGAGTCCTTCCTGGAGCACAAACACACTGAAGTGAGCTGGAACAAGGCAGAAGGTAATAGTTAGGTATGACATTGCAACAGCTGTTTGTGAGCATGAAGCAGAAGCACAGGGTGCTTTGAGGGCACCCGCACAGAGGCTGGCAGGGTCCTCTGGGTCCCTTGGCCCAACCCCTGCCCCAGCTGGGACCCAGAGCAGGGTGCCCAGGGTTAACAGAGGAGAAGCAGTCCAGACTACCTATGGAAACAAAACGTACAGAGAACTGCAAGTGCAACAATACCGTGCTTTTTACTACTGAGTTCCTCATGGTCCAAGCCCTAACTCTGAGTGCAGGAGAAGATGGCTGAGCCACGTCCAGACTCTGCGTTTTCCCCTTGGCTTTGTGAAGACTTCCAGCTCGCAGCCTTCATGGCTGGGCTCAGTGCTTCTTCCCACACCTCAAAGTGAAACCATTGGGCATCTGCTTGTTTGTTACTTAAGAAATCAGCCCCCTTGAGGGAGAGTCATTGGTGGCAGACATCTGACTCACGGATAAATAATCTCAAAATCCATCCAGCCCGCTTGTTGGCTGCATCTTCAGAAAGAAATGCTTCATGCTCCAGTGGAACACTGCTCAGCAGTGGGAGGAGAGGGACAAGAGGTCATCTTGGCAAAATGAAATCGTTTTTTTGATCTTCAAAGGTGGGAACACTCAGTTAGGAGTTCAGTCATCCATGCCATGGCTACTCACCTCTTAGTACACACAGAGCTAATCTTGTGCCTTTTTTCAGGTTTTTAATTGACCAGCAACAAAGAGACGCACGCAGCAGTCGCCTTCCTCATCCTTTGAGAAGAAATGGTTGAACCTGTAGGCAACCACTATGTTGTTGCCAGACGAGTGTACTCAGAGAATTCATTTGATGAAGAGCATGAGAAGTTGCACAGATACCACAAAAACTTCTGGGATCACTTGAAACTATATTTTCGGTAAGAAGATCTTTAATATGGATCTAAGAAACAACCTGGAATGCAGGTATCGGATAGCATGCATTCTATTCTGACAGCGTTCATCTCAGATGCCACAAGGCCAATGAATTATTTTATTTTTCTAGAGAATTGTGGTGTTCTTTTTTTGTTGTTTGTTTTTTTTTTTTTCCAAAAGAATGTCAGCTGCTGTTGCCTTTAAGTCTACCTGCGGTTGTATCCCAGGCAGCTTGTCTTCTTGTGGGCACCTGGAGCACAGCCTCATCCCAGAGGGGCTGAAGGGACCTTGTAGGTCACCACATCCCAGCTAGCATCACAGGTTGCTCAGGATTGTGTTTGGTCTGTGGCAGCTGACTTCAATCCTACCCCCTCATTTTCCCTCTGAATACCCTGCCCGTGACAGAGGATTGGAACTCAATGATCTTTAAGGTCCCTTCCAACCTAAGCCATGTCCTGATGTGCTGAGACCCAACGGGGACATTCCACTGGCAGAGCTGTATCCTCTTGTGTCTTTACAGTTGTTCCCCACAGAGGATCAAAAAAGTTGCCCTGCGTATGTTTCCTGTTGTCTCATGGCTGCCCGCATACCGCTTCAGGGAGTGGATCCTGAGCGACATCGTCTCTGGCATCAACACGGGGTTGGTGGCAGTGCTGCAAGGTAGCTCCAGTAGCTCTGTTTGACACGGCCCATGGCCCAGGAGGGAGGCTGCCGGTCCACCCCCTCACACACCTTGCCGTTCTGCTGTCTCTGACCCTATAGGTCTTGCATTTGCTTTGCTGGTGAATGTCCCTCCTGGTTATGGACTCTATGCAGTGTTTTTCCCAGTCCTGGTCTATTTTATCTTTGGTACATCCAGACATATCTCAGTGGGTAAGTGCAGGCACTCTGATCACCCTCATCACCAATGACCAAGTGCAGTTTTCCCCTGTGGGTCTGATGATGTCCTGTGTGCAGGTCCCTTCCCTGTCCTGAGCCTGATGGTGGGAGGCGTTGTCACCAGGCTGGTTCCCGATGGTGCTGCTGGAAATGGCACTGCTACCAACATGTCAGCTATAGATGAACAGAGGGTGATGGTAGCTGCATCTGTCACCTTTCTATCCGGGATTTTTCAGGTTGGTAATTAAATGGAATCATAGAATATCCCAAGTTGGAAGGGATCCGTAAGGATCACCCAGTCCAACTCCTGGCTCCACACAGAATTACTCAATATACATACTGCCCAATATATGTGTGTGTACCTGCATGTGTACATTCACTGATATGAATAGCTGGATGGTGACTGGCCTTAAAGCAATGTCATAAGAATGAAGGATTTTGACTTGTCTTTTCAAAAGAAAAAATGAAGTAGTTCCTTCTTTCTTCCTAATACAGAATTCCTAAAATCCCTTCCTAATTTTTATAGTTCATGGAGTATTGGCATAATGTAAAAATATGACCACAGAAAACCTAAGTCTAAAGAAGGTGTATTTTAGTTTTGAAATAAAAAGAATAGGTTCTAACTGCTGTAGCCTTTACCTTTATCAGTCGTATGTCTCCTGTTCCTAAACCTCATCATTGTTTCTGATGACATAATTTTCCTTAATCCCTAATGTATGGGATTAGGTGAAGATGTTATTGTTAAATATGGGTCCTTTTATTGCAGGGATCGGTTAAAAGCACAAGTGAATCCCATTAAAGTGTAGTCATTTGCATTTCAGTTGCTTCTGGGACTTCTCCAGTTTGGATTCATAGTCATTTACTTATCGCACTCGTTAATCAGTGGCTTCACAACTGCTGCAGCCATCCATGTTCTGGTGTCCCAGCTCAAATTCATGCTTCAGCTGCCTGTCCCTGGATTTAATAAACCATTTGGCATCATCTATGTAAGTGCAAACTCTTCAACATTTGCTGATGTTCAGAAAATTTGTGGTGTGTACCTGTCTATGTGCCACAAGGCCATGTTAACCATGCTGGGCATAGCAGTAGCCAAGGAGGAGAAGCCCAAGAGAAATGTATGCGATGGCTATTAATATATGGCAGATCTTCACATTTCTCACCAGATACCAAGTTGCTGGGATAGTTAGATAGCATTTTAGAATCATAAAATCCTTGGAGTTGGAAGGGACTTTTAAAAGCCATCTAGTCCAACTCCACTCAAATGAACAGGGTATCTACAGCTAGATCAGGGGGCTGTTAGTTGAACAGCACCGTGTTTCTTACTGATGTTGCAGACTCTGGAGAGCGTGTTCAGCCAGATCACCGACACCAACATCGCCGACCTCATCACCTCCCTTCTCGTCTTGTTCATCGTGTTCGTGGTGAAAGAGATAAACGATCGCTACAAAGCAAAGCTGCCCGCCCCTATCCCCATCGAGCTCATTGTGGTAATGACCTCTCCTCTGATTCCATGACGGCTCCATCACTCTGTGGGGACCAGTGCTTTTTGAGGTTGGCATTGTGCTCCAGGCTGCTCTGAGCTGCAGCGGGTGGAGACCTCAATGGGGGCAGCCTCACAGCCCATTGCTGTTCTCTGCTGCCAGAGGGATGTTCTGAGGTGCTCACCTTGGGATTTATGAGCATGAAACCATCCTATGAAGTGGTTCAGTCATCTGAAAATGTCAGGGATGCACAGAGTTGGGGCACTGTCCTGCCACCGGTGATGATGCTGGGGTGTAGGTGGGAGAGGGGAGGAAATGTTGCTTCGTGGTTTCTCCATCCACTTATTTGAATGTTCCTAATGGAGGTGGGTTTTTTTTTTAAATCTTTCAGACCGTCTTAGCAGCACTGATTTCCCATTTTGCTAAATTGGAAGAAAAATTTAAAGTGGCTGTTGTGGGAAAACTAGAAGAAGGGTAAGTGGTTTGCTTACAGTTTGCCTGTGGAGCAAAATATTCTCTCCAGTTTGTCAGTGCTAAATCGGTTCAGTTTATTGACCAAAATTGCCTACTTCATCTTCTTATCCTCACGAGGCCCCCATGTCCACTCCTCTATGACAGTTGGACTAGGTGGTCTTAGTCTTTTCCAACCTTAGTGATTCCACAATTGTACATATGGAGTATTTATCTAAATGTTATATCTGTTATACAGAATATATCCAGGTATACCAGAAGTTTGACATGAAGACTTAATAAGCAGACACTGAAGTAGAGAGGTAGGAGGGCAACCATTTACTCACTTGGGCACTCCGCACCTGTAGCCCCTCTGTATTAGTAGATGAGGTTTGCAGAGAAGCAGCTATTTCTGCTTGAAACTCTTCATTCTCCAGATTTCAGTTCACTGGAAACCAAACCAAACCAAACCAAACAAACAAACCTGAGAAATTCTCTCCAGGATCTGCAAAAGCCCCTGAGCCAAGGAGAAGGACATGGCAAAGATAAAGTACATAGAAGATAGCCTGAGGCTAACATGGCCGAGTACACATTTGTTTAGCTGCCTACAATGCTTCAGTGAATTACAGAGATCATTATGCATAATTGGAAAGCAGAACCATGCGTGCTCTTTAGACAAGATAAGCTGTGGCTGTTCCTGGCCAACTAAATGGGAACCACTGAGATACAAGCCGAGATGAGTGCAGATGGAGAGTCTCTGTCCTGATCAAGGATTCCCCAAAATGTTACATGTTCAGATTTGCAATTACACGTCACACCTCTCCAAAGCACTCAGTTAAACCGTGTGAGCAGGACTGCTGCCTTGCTCACCTGCTTGGCAGGTCATCTCCTTACAGAAAGTCCTTTAAAAGCAGAGATCTTTGTCTTTCAGATTCCAAGCTCCTGTTGCACCTGATGCAGGCATTATCCAAAACTGTGTTGGTGATGGCATCTCCATTGCAATTGTTGGATTTGCAGTAGCCTTCTCTGTGGCTAAAGTGTATTCCATCAAACACGACTACCCAATAGATGGGAACCAGGTAAAGACACAGCACTGTGCATTTGCTAATGGGAAATAAGTCATTTTAGGAATGCATTGTCTTGAATGCATTCCTTCAGGACTGCTTTAGAACAGCCTTTTTTGGTTTTACTCCAGGAACTCATCGCCTTTGGACTGGGTAACATACTAGGCGGATCGTTCAAAGGGTTTGCCTCCAGTACAGCTTTGTCAAGATCAGGTGTGCAGGAGAGCACAGGAGGCAAAACGCAGGTATAGAAAACAACAGACCTTGATGTCACTTAATACAATGAAGGTCTCTTTCTTCCTTGCTGACTCTAATGCCTTCGGGCACTTATTCATGGTGGAATTGTTCTTTCATGCAGATTGCTGGTATTATCTCTGCTATCATCGTCCTGATTGTCATCTTGGCCATTGGGTTTCTCCTGGAACCATTACAGAAGGTATTCACTGGCTTTACCCTGTGCTTCCTCCAGCTGGAGGACTCACTTGGAGTGTTCGTGAACTTCATTTAGAGACAAATAGAATTTTTGCAAAACTAGGTTCTTTCTCTAAGATTATGACCCCACTACATGGGGTCAAAGGGAAGGTGGGTGCTCTACACCAAACATTTTAGCACCAGCTTTTAGGTGCCGGAGTTGAGTGGGTTTGCTCACTGGCAGCTGCCTGGCCTTCCAGCTGCGCTTTGGCTCTGATTGCATGATGTCTTAAGACTTAACATTCAATGTATGCTTTGTTTGCTTCAAAATTGAGTACGTGTTGCTCTTCTCAACAGTCAGTCCTTGCATCCTTGGCTCTTGGCAACTTGAAGGGAATGCTCATGCAGTTCAGAGAAGTAGGCGTCTTGTGGAGGAAGGACAAATATGACTGTGTAAGTTGAGTCCCTCAAACATTCAGGAATGAAGCTCTGTCAAAAAGTCACCCATTATGCAAACACGCTTAAAGGTTATCTTTATTTTCTTGCGCGCCCTACTTTTCTACATGGGAAGTACAACAGTACGCCTTTTTAATCTTGTACTCTTGCTCATGTTTTCAGTTTTATCACACCTATTCTGAGCCCATTGCTCTGTTCACCTCTCTTGGAGACACTCATTTTCATCCACTTTATCATAACATATTAAAATACAGTTCAATGTATGAAGTCAAATATAGAAAGAAGTTACATAAAACATCTAACTACCTTCTGCAATGGCTTCAAGGACATTTTCCCCCTTTCATACACTCCTGAGTAGGACAGGTGGAAGTTACTTAGTAAATCCCAAGAGCAGCCCATGGCTTGAAGGAGTTGCTCCCGGCAGAAGAGCTCATGGCTGGAGATCAGGGCTTCCTAACTCTTGCACTTGGAAGATGCAGTCTCTTGCTGATCTGCTGATTCCTTCAGTTCCTGAATGGATTCAAGCTTCAGTTTTCCCAGCTACAAAACAGTCTTTCACTAAGCGAAAGTGTGCTTTGAGATCTGCAGTTAAAATACTCTGTAATATTCAGTAATGTGTGTTTATCAATCAGGTTCATTCCCAGCAGCTCATTTTGCCTGTTTTGATGTCCAAAACGTATTTACAACTCTCAGTTTTACCAGAATACTAATTTCCTGGTAAACTTGCCTTTCTGCTGGATTTTTTATTGAGCCTTTTATGAGACACCTATGGAAGATTCACACTTCTATGACACTAATCCTTGTGTACTGTATAGAAATTGTCATCTCTAGAAACACTTCCTGGTGCTCGTTGATGAGTCTGGCCCTGTTTTACAAGAATCTATGAAAGATGAAATTGCTTTAAGAAAAGGCGTATGGACAGCTTGGACCAGACCTGAGAAGACAGCTCAGAGGCAGCTGCTCCCACGCTGGGCTTGTGGTTGGAGTTCCACTCCCTCACGTAACTGCTGATGTCCTCCCACTCTTTGCAGATGATCTGGGTGGTGACCTTCTTGGCGGCCGTTTTCCTAGGCCTGGACATCGGGCTGGCAACAGCTGTGGCATTCGAACTGCTGACTGTAGTGATCCGCTCCCAGATGTGAGTACTGCTTGGATGTGATGACACAACATTGCAGGGCCTCCTGTCTTAAATTAACCCTACTAGAACTATGCAGCAATCCGAGGACAACCCCAGCTGTCCCTTCCACCAGGTATCAGCACAGGGCACAAATAGCTGTGTGTGTTTGTTTGCAGACCGAGCTGCACCACTTTGGCAAACGTTGGGAGGAGCAACATCTACAGAAACAGGAAGGATTACACTGATGTAAGGAACCTCCCCTCCCTTTGGTCATCTGCTGCATTCGTGTTTCTGTAACAGATGCCATGACCAATACTTTTGCTTTGCATGACAGATCTACGAGCCAGAGGGAGTGAAGATCTTCAAATGCTCATCTCCTATCTTCTTTGCTAATATCGAATTCTTCAAAGAGAAACTCATCTCTGCTGTAAGTGACTGGGGCAGTCATTATGAACAGATGAATTGTGTGACACATTAAGGCTGAATACAATTTCTGCATAATTAGTAGGTATGCAGATCAGCCCTACTACAAAGGTACATTTTTCATTAATTACTCAAATGTCAGTTTATGACTGTAGTCCCACGTGTACCATACCCAACTCTGAGGAGAGCAGCCTGACTGGTGCTGAACAACACTCTGGCACCATCTGTAGTGGCAGAGAAAGGCTGGAGAGACCTTGGTGAGCAGCTGCACAAAAGACAGCAGGGTTTTGGAGAAAAACAGCTCAAAAAGGCATTGCTGAAATGTTTAAAGGTAGTGAAGTTTCAAGGTAGTTCAGGAATAGAAAACAATACCTTTCCTAAACAAACTCTGTGCCTGAGCCTTTAAGGCATCATAATTCATTCGGCTAAGAGTATTTGTTCATTTGTTTTTTGCTTGTGTCATCATTATCTGAGAGATTATGGATGCTTTCTAGCCTCACCATCACAATTACTTGAGAAGGTACTGGAATTTTTGGCTCCACCTGAAGAACTAATCAAGGTGCTGCTTCTCCAGGTTGGATTCAACCCACTCAGAGTCCTGAGGAAACGCAACAAAGCTCTGAGAAAGATCAGAAAGATGCTGAAGAAAGGAGAGCTACAAGTGACACCTGTAAGTAGGGCAACTGCACTGGAAGCAGGAAGGGTGGGCAGGAAGGGCACGGAACTGAGGAATTAAGCAGCCAGCTCCCTGGCTCAGGGTGCAGAGGTGGGCTCACAGCCTCCTGTCTTGACTGGACATGCCATTGCCAGTCTCTACTTCATGGCACAAGCACATAAGTACACGGCTTTTAACTAAAAGAGACTTAGGTTGGATATAAGGAAGAAATTCTTTACTCAGAGGTGGTGAGGCCCTGGCACAGCTGCCCAGAGAAGCTGTGGTTGCCCCATCCCTGTAGGCACTCAGGGCTGGGTTGTATGAGGCCCTGGGACCTGATCTGGGGAGAAGTGTCCCTGTCCACGGCTGGGTTTGGGGCTGGGTGGGCTTTCAGTTCCCTTCCAACCCAAACCATTCTGTGATTTCAAAAATAGGATTTTAAATCGCTCTCACAGACAAAAAATCCTGCATGCTTTTTGTTGACTTGTTCCAAAACTACTGAATCAAAGCGTGTTCAACCACTGACTTCTGGGAAGATTAAATTCTTCTGGAAAAGATGATCATTAATGGATTCCAATGATGATTAAACGGTTGGTTAGAGAAAAATCAACATTTTGAAGCTCCTCCAAACGAGAGAGAGGCAGAATTTTTCCAGTATAAAGTGCAGGTGCTTCATCTCACAGGTATTGAGAGACATGGGTTAGTGGTATGATGATGATGAGTTGATAATTGGTCTAGATGATCTTAGCGGTCTTTTCCAACCTTAATGATTGTATGATTCTATGTCAGCCTCGCATTGCTACCACCCTCACTCTTCCTTACAATGCACTTCCAACCCAGAAGAAGCATTAACTTTGGCATTTGTCTTTGCTGTCACAGAAAGGCTTGATATGCATGGCTCACCATACACAGGAGTCGGATGATGAATTAGACAACAACAGGATGGAGGAACTGGACCAGCCCACTGATATGGCAGACTTGCCCATTCAGATCAACTGGAATGCCGAGCTGCCCCCAGGCATCGCTGTGCCCCGGGTCGACATCCACAGCATTGTGCTGGACTTCTCAGCAGTGTCCTTCCTTGATTTTTCTGCTATGAGAGTCCTCCAAAAGGTAGTTCCAACTGACGAGACAGTGATCACACAAAAGAAAAACATACAAATGTGATGTGCTGCATAGAGGTATTTCCACATGAACAGAAAAGTCAGTGGTAGCCTTTGAATTTATGCAAATTCAGATCTACATTTTCCAAAGAAAATGATTAAACAATTAATTTTCTTGGAATTAGAGCATTGGGAAGCTTTACAGAAATACACATATGAAATATGGCTTTAAACGTGGGGTTGGGAACAGGAATACCATAGTTTCATTTCTGCTCCTGCTCTCGCTTTCCAGGGCAGCCTTGAGCAAGGCAATCAGGACATTTCCCAACAGCAATAGCTAAGGTTAGCTATCTGTTACATCCACATAATATGGGCAGATCTATTTCCATGGGAGCTAAATGCTCACGGAGTACAATGGGAAAAGTAGTTTTGCTTAAATTCCTAGTTAGAAAAGTTTCCTCAGAAGCTTTTGGAGTCTCAGTTTCATATAAAGCCATACAGTTTATGAAAGATCATCTGTTTCACTGTGGGTGCAATGCATTTAATACTGCCCCATTTCAAAGGGACCATTTCTTCCTGTCCACAGCCATTAGAGAATCTGTTCTTCCTTCAGGTGCAGTGAAGTTCGACATTAGAGCTGCTTGCCATTATTAAATATACAATCAATATCTTAAATTGCCCTGGCTAATCTTAGTGGCTGCTATCAGCAGAATTATCAGTTTCTAAATGATGCCTGTTTCCGGTTTAACAGACTTTGAAAGAGTTTGTCCGGATCGATATCGACATTTACATTGCAGGGGCACATGGTGAGTACTTGCATTTCCATCAGCCTCTCCATGGCTGCCCCATTCCCAGTAATTCTTCCTGCCTTACCCCACTGCCTTCCCCATTCCCTGACAGGGGTTGGGAGATCCCCCAGCTCTATCTCCCCATCCTGGGTAACAACAGCTTCACCTCTCAATGCACTCCAGCTCCCATCTGCATTGCCCCAAGCAAGGCAGTGCCAATGGGGCTGGCATCCCACTCTCCACATTGGCACAGAGAAACCCATCTGTTCTAGTCAACAAAACTGGGCACCTTATTTGATATCACTGTTTACTCTATGGACGCACAAAGAATACGTTATTCTTTTGGCACTGTCAGGACCTCTGCTGGGAACTTTATCCTTGGATTTTGTTCCCCTGTAGAGGGCTTCCTGGAGAAGATGGAGAGATGTGCTTTTTTTGATGAGGAGATCAAGCCATCCATGTTCTTCCTCACCATTCACGATGCAGTTTTACACATTTTGCTGAAGAAGGACATAGCCAGCTCCCCAAAATTAAAGCTTGCTGAGGTAATGCTACAGTTTTCATCTTTTTCTGCTTTAGTATCTTTACCCATAGGCACCCAACAGCACTTTTATATCCAGCCATACACGCTGTGCGTATACTCAGAAAGTTAAAAGATTAAAATTCAGCTGCCTCTGATAAATTGGGAGAGTCCAAAAAAAAGGAGTGAATAACTCCCAATGGAGATGGGCTGGCTGTGGGTTTCCCTTGGAGGGGGCTCCACGAGCATCCATTTCCTAACCCCAAACTCATGCATCCATTGCAGAAGGGGAGCAGCAACGACTATGTCATCACTACCAGCAACGGACTGCGCAGTCGGGACAGCACGGTAAGCCTCCTGCCTCCCCCAGTGCCACTCCAACCCCTGGTGCGTAGGTAATGTGCTCACCAAAAGCTGCTTGCAGGAACTGCAAGGTCAGATCCCAAACACATCTTCATTGCTGAGCCCCTGTGTCAGCCCAGGGCAGAAAGCACCCAGATGATTTATTGGTGGGAATTGACTTGAGGCAAAGAGCTACAGGAGTAAGAAGTGCAGGGCTCTGCTGGCAGGAATGGTCTGCAGAGAGAAGGCTTCCTTCATGGATGTCCATGGAGCCTTTGGTGCACTGCCCGTGTGGCAGAGATCCATCATTAGTCCCATTCCAACAAATGTCACAGGCAGAAGGGAGACTGGAGGTGTGCGGGGAGAAGGTATGAAAGATCTCAGACAGCAGACTTCATGCACAAATGCTTTGGAGCAGTGAGCTTACATGCCACTCACCAGTGACTCCTTACCCTGAATATCCCTTCCTAGGGTGCCATTTACTTCCTTTTTTGTTTTTGTTTTTTTTTTCCCCTACAGATTCCAGCGGAAACAAAATTTTAGATTTAATTTTCTAAATATAATATCCTCCAGCAACACAGCATCACTTACAGAACGTGACGGCACACACAGTGATGAGCATGAAGACCAATGGGAGTTTTCATCAACATTAAGGATTTACTACAGATGATTATGTTCCAGATTTTGGAATGGTTTTGTTAGTGTCTCTGTATATATAGAGATGTATTTATGTACATGCACAAAGGCTAAAATCACCTGGATTTTCTATTTCATACCTTGCTGACAACCTCCCCACACAGTTAAAGCAGCAAGTAGCATTGGCCCTATTTGCTTATACTTGTACATATACCCACGTTATTCTGACAGTTTGTAGACAACCTGTACAGATACAAAAGAACATATGAATATCTGAAATCCTTTAATTTATAGTCTTGTAGTTGGGAGTCACATATCTTCACCTTGTATATAATTTGTACATAGTCTTCTCGATGGTTTACACAATACCTGCTCAATTGAGTTATTAAACTTATTTTCAGCACATGACCATACACATAGTGTACGTACATAGTGACTGCTGTATCTACTGGGAAACATGCAGATAGCTCAGTAAAGGCGTACAGCATATTCAGATCCAAACACAACTCGTCTATTTGCTTTGGGATGCTATGAACTTAAGTTCATGTATGATAACTCTCCATTGCTGGCTGCATTTTTCAATACCCCAGGAAGGCAGCTCATCATCAGTCTGATCTCTTGCTGTAACACAAAGTTTGCAGTGGTTTGAAGATACAAAATCTGGGCTTATCTGAAGAAATCTGCAATGAAACTGGCTGGAAAGTTACATTAAAGTGAGGCAGCTACAAATACAACTAGAAGATAATACAAAAGTGAGGAGGCTTTGAATACGAAAGAAAGAGGGGACTGAAAACTGAGGTCAGAATGTCACTCAATTTCCTTTCCAATGCAGCCTTCAAAGAGACATAGACTCCGTCAGAACAGGGCTTGTCTTCTGACAGAATGAGACAGTAGCACACCTGAGCAGCATGCTCAAGGGAAGCACTGTTACCACGTAAAGATGCCTTAGCAGTGGCTAAGAATTATCTGTAGCACTGTAGAGTAGAACACAGAACACAGCGAAAGCACAACTTGTGTGACACCAACACTTCCCTTAGAAATGTAGTCAAGACAAAAACATAGTTTTGCACAATTCTGTGCATACAGGATTGGAACTTGGAGAATCACAGACGGAAAGCTCAGACTCACTTTCTATACATTCAATATTAAGTTGCAATTCCACTGTAGCTCCCAGTTTCTAAGGTACAGTAGGACTTTTCTATGCAAATATGCACATTTTTTTTTGCATCCAGAGAGAAGCAGCACAGCACCTGACACAAGTTTAGCAGAGGAGGAAGCACTGCAAGGAGAGAGGTATGTCCAGATACGATCCTGAGAGAAGGCATTTCTGTAGGCTGGCTCCTGTGAGCGCCCAGCCTTACCCAGCACAGAAGCCATTGTGTGGGCAAACTCCAATATGAAATGAACACCAGTTACTTCCACTTCATTTTTTAAACAAACTGAGTTCAATGCTCCTTAAAGAGCAGTAAGTGAAAAGAAGGGGGAAACCCCATACAGAATGGATATCTAGCTCTCCTGGATCAGATCTAGAACAGATATCGCATTTCATTTTCATTTCTTAAAAGGAAAAATACCACATAAAACATGTAGACACCAACCTTTATGTTAACAGCATTCTCAAAAAACAAAACCAAACCAAACCCCAAAGCATGTGGCCACATAATTGAGAGCGTTTGTAAATCACGCATGGAAGCAAGCATCTGGAACCACGGATGGCTTCAGGCCGCCTCTGGTGTTCTTTACTTCATCCCATGGCGAACACAAACCAACAAACTCTCTTCATTCCCTATAATGGCATTATCAAAGTGCCCTACAATAGCTAACACGTTCCAAGTGCCATCAGAGCTGCCTTAGAACAAAGATCTGCTTGGTAACACTCCAGGAGTGAGACTGCTGCTGCTGACAGAAATACTGAGTACAAAACTAACACAATCCAAATGTTTGCCTTTAAGGAAGGCACCACTGGGAACCCAGAGGATTTGAAGGTACATCTCAGTACTTCTAAGGCTGTTAATCATACAATGAAACATTGTGTACACAATTTCTGAACCTGAAGAAGAAACAACCAGGTATTTTGAAAAAGTATTCCCCCCAAAAATCACACAGAAAGATTGTTAGCGTAACATTTCAACCCATGCTGAAATCTTTTGACTTTATACATACGGGAGTATCAACAGTTCCTGTAGTTCTATGGGGAACCTTAAGGCTTCAAGATACAAATACAAAACAGATGTAGGCTTTCCGATGCGAGCAGCAAACAGAAGTTTGACTCAAGTCCAAATCCTACTGCAGGAGATGACTGTTCAAGTAAGTTCTCAGAGACTTTCGATTCACTAAACAATTCAAGGTGTCCTACTGATTTTGGGGAGTAATAATTAAGTCATATTTTGGGGTCACCTTTGCCTCAAATATAAATAAAACACCCAAATTCTCACATCTTCTGCAGTGGTATACACTTACCTTTTGTGCTTTCTGATGGAGTAAGGGCAGCTGTTCACCTCTGAACTACCTCAGTATTTTCATAGAAGAGCTCGGACCCAGGTAGGAAACCTCCATCTGTTGCACAACAAGACAGCATAGTATCTAGCAAAAACACACAATGCCATTCATTTCAAGGGTGCTGAAATATTCCTCTTGCTCTTTCTGAGCTACTGAAACAAAATAAGCAGCCATTTTCCCCTTCATACAGGCTCAGGCATGCATGCAGTTTTCAACCGACTGCGTGCTGTAGGACACTGCCACAACCAGCCTTTTCTTTGCTTGTTTTATTTAAAACGACTTATTTCTCAAAATTAAAAGTCTGTGATGGTTCTATGATTTTTTGTTAAATTTGTGTTGAATGACACTTACTGCCATCTGCACACCCCAGAATTTACTTGCACGTCCCTAAAACTGTGTCGTGCTGCTTTCTGCTGTATTTCTTTGAAGGGTAGTCCAAAAGATTTGCCTGTGGTCACAGGGAAACCTATGGCAGTCCCAAACAGCAAATCTAAAGAACGTTCGCTCAAGTAATTAAAAATACACACTTTATACACAAAACTACAAAATTACAGATGTTGTATTGTCAGAGCCCATCTGTATTGCCAGATAAAGAAAACATTGAAGAAAGTTTTACAAAATAAATCACAAGATTCAGGCTTTGAAGATGGTTCATCTTATTTGAGAAATGTAGGAAATGACGAATCATAGAAAAACAAACAAAAACACAACACTGGATTTCTTCATCTAGAAGCACCGCTGTTAGAAATGTGGCATTTGGGAGAAAAACAAAGACAAAACCAAACCAATCCAAAACAAACAAGCAGAACCAACCCAAAGGTTCAGCACAACATTGATTGGAAATGCAGATAAGTATTTCAAACAGGCCGTACTTCTTTTTATCAGTTGGGTTCAGATTCCAACTGCAATGACAGAGAACATTCACATCTCATAGTTATTATATCCAAGTGTGCTTGTAAAAACCAAATGTTGGGGCCAAAAGAGCCCTCAGAGTCTGCATACATTGCCATCTTTAAACCAAACCACCTACTGACTGTCCAATTCAGCCTGTATCACAAAATGGAAATAGATCAAGGATGTGTAACTTTTATTGTTATTTTTTGTATCTACTTAAGGGATTTCAGGCCCTTTATTTCCTGTATCCAAACGGGAAGTGTTCCTACTACACATGCTGTATGAAGTGACTGAGGTTAATGCCACTTCACCAGAAGTGACCTGCTTCTCTCACAGATCTAGCAAGCCCATTCTTGGCTGCTTTCACACCAACAGAACCACAGGGAAACAAAATGGTTTGAATTCAACACCAGTGAGAAGTATCTGTGAACAAAATCTTCTGAAACAAATCTAGCCTGGAAAGAAAAACAAAAAAGACCCAGAAACAAACAGAACAACTCTATATCCACATTATAATACGGCTGGATTTCTGATAAATTTATCTTGGTTTTGATATGGAATGAGTTTTAAAAACAACTAAGAAAAAATCCCCACCACCTGAAATGCAGCATTCACTTGCCTGCTTCCTAGTGCCACAAATTCACCATAGCCTGAATCATTATAAGTAGCAGCATATGTTAGTAAAAAACCTCAAGTTTCCTAACTACTTCATTATGCTTCCATGTGGGAAATGTTAGAGCCAAAACAGTATCCAGGAACTGTGTCTGTGTTAACTTCACATAAAAACCCACCACTTTTACAACCATAGTTCAATTTAATTATTGTACACAGGTTAACAAAAATGTATCACAAGTGAAAACTAAACATTGGATTTAAACAAAAACAATATTCAGAATGGTACAACACATGTTCATTTTCTCCAGAAAGTGATATTACAAGTGTTCATCTTAGGACAATTAGCCACACTATAGACAGAAGTTCAGTTAAAATGCAACTGTGGTCTACTAAGCCACTTATTTTAGCACTACAGAATATTTGAAGTCAGAGTCCTACAGCCAAGGCTTAAAAATCATTAAAGATTCAAACCCCAAAACGTCTTACAGTCAAAATGACAGTATTTTAAAAAAACCAAAACAACTCCCATACAATTAATTAAAAGGCTGCTGTATATAGTTTTATCCTCTTCATAGCGCTCTCTATTCATACAATTGCTCAGATCACTGGTAATAGGGTCTGTATCTGGCTTGATCGGGGTGGTGCGGTCCAGCAAGAGGAGCCTGAGCAGGAGGCCCCTGCATCCTTGGAGGTGGAGGCGGCCCTCTGGGAGCCGGCCAAATCCCTGGACTCATGCCCCCCGGTTGTGTGAAAGGGGGACTAAGAGTTCCTTGATCTTCACTGAACTGTGGCAAAGAGTTAGGGTTATAGTGATGGGGAGGGGGGGCACTGACATTTACAGGAGGGCCTCCGTGCTGAGGGGGGGGAGGTCCTGGAGGAGGATGATTCATATACGGCGGCATCTGGGCAATGATATGTCCAGGCGGCGGGGTTATCGGAGGAGGAGCAGAGGTCATTGGCGGCGGAGGAGCTTGGCTATACACCATGTGAGGTGTGCCTGCCGCCTGGGGAGGATGCTGCAGAGGATGGCTTATTGGAGGAGGCGGAGGGGGGGGTGGCGCATAATGTTGCTGCGGAGGCATAATATGGTGCGGGTGCGTTACCACCGGTTGGCCCTGATACTCGGGATGATGATGAGCAGGTGCTGGGGCAGGAGGAGGCGGTTCTCGAGCGCCTGAATTTGAATCATCCTGAATAGGGACGGTTATCAAGTTGCTGTGTTTTCTCGTAGAGATGCGGAACGTGTCCTGACTGACCGGGCGAGGCGGCGGCGGAGCCATGGACATCTCGGCAGGCGGCGGGCGGATGTCTTCGTGCGGCTGGTTGTAATGCTCGTGCGGCACGTGCTGTAAGGGAGGCGGCGGCATCATGATGTGCTGCTTCGGCGGAATGTGGCTCATGTGGTGTTTCTCTGGTGGCATTATGAAACGCTCCGGGATCTCAGCAGGAGGAGGGGCAATGGGAGGATGCACGGGTTCAAGAGGAGGACGAGTCACAGGCTTTCCAGCTCTCATATGGCGGTGGTTGATGTGAGCCTGTAAGTCTCTCTGTGACAGGTAAGTTCTCTTGCACCCTTGGACTATACTGCACATGAAGAGAGACCCTCGCACACACTGCTCGATGCGCTGGACAGGTTCGTTACAGCTAAATTAGAACAGAACATTGATTTACTGCCATCACATAGAGCTTGATCTGCAGGGCTTTTTTTTCCCCCCCAACTGTTGTTTTTGACTAATTTTTGATAATGACCGACATTAGAACCAACAGTTTCTCCCCATTAGAGCAACAGAACACATTCGGTTGATTTTGAAGTTAAGCAAACTTCTTAAGGCTCCAAGTACAACAACAGAATAACATCAAAATTTCAGAGAATTTCAGAAACTTTCAGAAACTTAGACATGGCATCACCCTCTATCAAAAATTCCTTTTATGTTTTGATACTCTTCAAATTGTAGTAATTACAGGTTACCTACACAGTGAGGTAAACAATGAGGTAAACGCCAATCTCTTACCATTTGTTAACTGTGGGATATTAAGCTATAATTGAGTGGAGCACGAAGGAGCACTCTGCTACCTCTACCAAATGTACACAGAAGCTTGCTAATACAATATCTGAAATAACTTTTTAAAGTGTCCCTCTTCCATTTCCCTTAATAAAAATCTAAAGAGAACTTACCCAGGACACATCTTGTCTCCCTTTTTCTCATGTAGTATAGCACAGTCATAGCAGAAAACATGCTTGCAAGGTATCTAGAGGAAAAAAAAAAAGGCTCTGTTAGACAACAGGTGTCATTTTGCACCATACAATGCCTCCACCCAGCACAGAATTTCTAAGAATAGAAGTACTGAAGTTATGTATGAAGCACTTATATAAGAATGTTGCTAGCAGTTTACAGCATCTTTGAAACCGAAACTTTCAAAACCAGTCTGTATTGTCAGGAAGGCAAGGGTTTAGGTCTCTTTGGTGGTTTGGTACATGCATGGTTGCTTGGATTGTGGAATTTGTTTTGTCTTTTAAAGAGCTGGCAAACATTTTAATTCTGCTGTAATACTAACACCGAACCTTTAGAGATGCTGCATATGCAATCTAATTACACTTGTCTGCAAAAAGGGAATGTTTCAAAAGCATTAAGAGTCATCAAGTCAGATCCCCAAGTCTGTTACATCACACTCAGATACCCAAGTTCATCTCAGGGATTTTGTTACACTAGTTTTTGAGAAGACATAAGAGCAGTGCTTACTAACGTCATTACAAATTGTCCATTGACATAAAGAGTAAGTGGTGCAAGCCTGAAAACACACTAAAAACTTGCAAGACTTCTGTTGGCATTTTGGGGGAAGGGAAAGCGATTGCATTTGTTTTAAAGCTTTTGATTTTAGCACTTCTGAGCTTACTCTATTAAATCAAAGGGCAAAGCAAACTCAGCGAGTCAGGCAGAACATCTCAGTCCAGCAGTTAAGGCCCTGGTTCCACCCTAACTTTGTTCTGCTGTTTACTCAGAGGTTTGCTGAAATTACCACCCTCTGGAGACCCCACAAACACAGTAACACTTGTTACATAAAGGGACACCATGGCTGCCTCTTCCCAAGAGCCCACTCACCATGCGCCCATACATTTTGATGGGCAACCCACACTTATCACAGAAATGGACAGGCGTATCATCCTTCTCCCCCAGCAAGTTTATCTAGAAGAACAGAGAAAAGGGTGGGAGAAAGAGAAACATCACTAAAGCTTCTCACTGCAGTCATCACCAACCCACCCTTTCTGAATTACCAGACTGAAGCAAGACCACCACAAACATGAAAATGTATTTTTGGTACATCAAAAGTAATGCAAGTGATTTCATCCTAGTGGATACTTCTTAAAACAGCCTTCAGTTTGGTATGATTCATAAAGTTTCACCATTTCCCATTCACAGTTTTACCTTATAGTCCCAAAATATGGGTCCAGGGAATCTCCTTTGATTTCCAAACATTTCACCTCCTTTGCATTCGTATCGCTCCTCTTCATTAAAATCAAATTCTTCTGTGGAAAGAGGAAAGAGAAGACAGACACAGGGCAACGCCACTTCCCTAATGGACACCAGCTGCTATTAAGTGCATGCACCAGCGTATATCGAAATCATCAGGACAGGCTGCAACACTCCCGGTCTGCTGGGCTATTCTGCAGAAAGGTACAACCAAAATAGTGCGAATTTGTTGAAGGAATTGGCATCATTTATTCCTCATAGAGCAGCAGAACTTGGAAACATGAAACAGGCTGTGCAGCCGTAAAGAAACCTGGACTCCAACACTAACCAAAGCCTTTAACAGTGCTGCAGAATACTCTGCCTCACTGCAGGGTGAGTTGCTTATAGCAACTTACCTTCATCCCCAGCTTGTGTCTTTGCAGGCATCCTGTTCATAGCTCTGGGAGCCCGAGGTGCAGGTTTGGTTTTATTGGTCTGCTTTGAGATCAGCTTTATTGGGATTCTTCTGCGAACATCAAGACCACCCAATGACGCTGAACTATTTGTTCCTTGCAAATCATTGTCTATGGAAGAAAAAGAAATTCTGTCATTTCTTACTTATGAAATAGTTTCTGAAGATGCTAAATATTAACAGAACGGTTCAAAGAAAAACGATTTTCAAAGCCTTCTTTCTTCAGCTACTCAGGTCACAAAACAGTTTTAAAAACTATGATTTTAGAAAAATCTATCTAAAAATAAAGTTATTTTAAAGACTGATAAATAAAGCTAGCCTGACATTTTTCTATAGCAGAAAAAAAACATTAACTGCATAGCTCCTACTGCAGCATGAACAGTACTGAGGAGTCAGCTCTTTCTATGACGACGACAACACAGAACTCCTGCTGAGAAAATATTTTCACAATTTATATAAATTCATTTTTAAACAAATTAAAAGGAAATTAAGTTTCCATCTGTACTCTTGGAATCATAGAATGGCTTGAGTTGGAAGGGAGCTCAAGGATCATGAAGCTCCGACCCCCCTGCCACAGGCAGGGCCACCAACCTCCACATTTAATACCAGACCAGGCTGCCCAGGGCTCCATCCAACCTGGCCTTGAACACCTCCAGGGACGGGGCATCCACAACCTCGCTGGGCAGCCCATTCCACCCCTTAGCACCCTGACATATCACTTGCAAGTTCAGCATAAAGTATTACAAAAATATTGGTGCTTAGAGTATGCAGCATCCTTGCTAAACTAAAGATTACCATTCCTCTCAGTAGATCTCTTTGTCCAGGTTTAAGACTGGCACCAAAAGAAGCAAGGACACGCCCAAAACAGGCACTGAGAGACAACCTGGAAAGAAAAGTGCTGCCAAGGATTGCTGCACAACCTGATTTCTCCAGCTTTCAGCAAGTCAACCTCACATTTATACAGAATCACATTTATACCACACAGCATCTCATTTGTACAAAAATAAAATCACATCCTTCACAAACCAACCTAGCTCACTTCCAATTTAATAGAGATAAAATGGCACTTTCAGTCAGCCCCTTGCAACAAAGACTCAGACTTCTACTAATACCCATCATTAGACCCATATTGAGACACCTTTAAGTCTATATCCCTGTAGAAAGGAGATGGACACACACGTAAGACCAGAAGTAACCCAGAAGGCAAATTCCATTCTGAAACAAAACTGACACGCAACTTGGTGACAGCTCCACTGTACCCAGACACTGACAGAGGGCCCCATTAGCACACTGTGCACAACGCAAACTGTAAATTGCGCCTCAAAGCTCACAGCTTCCCTCCGCAACACCACCTGAAGGGAAAACAAGACAACAAGGAAATGGGGGGCTTGCTAGAAACTGCAACCAAGTTTCAAATCAGGACTGTGCCTTCACAGTCACTTTGCTTCAGTATCATGAGTGCCCATAGTTTCTGATCCATGAATCAGACAACACCTGCTTTCCTCCAATCACTCCCCAGGCTGCACTGCAAACAGCAAACAGCACAGACACCAACAGAGCAGAACATCAGAGGCAGCAACACCGACTCTGTCTTCTACACCTGTGGAACTCTTCTGGGCTTTTATTTATTTATTTATTTTTAAACAGGAATACCCCAAAAGACACCACACTACAGGCCAGAGAAGTCCTACAGACCTCGGTCCATTTCAAACACAGATAAACACACCAAACACGACGCCAGAACTCAACAGGCTGCCTGCTCCATCGCTGCCCAGCAGGAGCAGTTCAGTTCTGACCCTGTCCAGCCAACGACCCAGTCCCGATGCCAAACCCAGCGGGCAGGATTTGCTCCTATTTGCTCCTGCCTGTTTCCGGAAGGATGACACGGTCACGGAAGGACGGTCTGTGGATGCACACCCAGCTGGGTCACACCCCTAAAGAAGCACAACAGATGTACCCCAATCTGTTGACTTGGAGAGAATAGAACCAGGAGAGATGCGCTCCTCTAGGCGATCACCTTTCGGAGCTTCTCTTTTTATTTCGGTATTTTAGGATTTATTACAGTCCATAAGCAGAGCGCAAAAACGACCCCTGAAGCATTTATAACGCAAGTTTCCTAAGGGAAAACCAAGCACACCGCTAACAGAAAGCGGCGCGGGCCCCGCTCATCCCCAGCGCCGCAGCCGATCGGAGCGCGGAGCAGCCGGCTGGGGGAGGGGACCGCGAGCTCCGCGCTCAGAGCACGGCTCAGGCCCCGCGCCCGAGCCCAGGGCCCCGCCGGGTCCCGCCGCGTTCCCGGGGACGGGGCCGGGCCGCCCCCCAGCCCCGCGCCGGCCCCCCCCGCACACAGCCGCTCCCCGGGAGGCGCTGCGGCCCGGCGGCCCCCCGCCTCTCCCCTCCTCACCATTGTGGTCCATGGCGCGGCGCGGGGCGCTGTGGGAGAGGAAGGGCGCGGCCGGAAGCGGAAGGCACGGCGGGACGGGCGGGGAGAGCGCGAAAAAGGGCGCGGCGGAGAATCGCCGATGGCACCGCGGCCCCGCGCCGGCAGGGCGGTGTGGGCATGGCGGAGCCCGTAGGCAGCGCAGCGGCGCCGCTCCGCCTCACGGCAACGCGGAGTTGCCAGCTTCCGGCGGCCTCCGCGGGCCGGGAAAAGAAGGACGGCGGCGGCCGTGCCGCGGTGGCTGCCGGGATAGCTGCGGGCGGACCGCGGCCGCCTGGGGTGTATAGTGCCGCCCGCCCCGCGCATGCGCGCTGCTGAGAGCGGTGAGAGCGGGGTCGCCCAATATGGCGGCGGCGGCGGCTCTGGGAGCGGGTGGTGCTCGGCCTGCCGGCCTGCCGCCCGCACCGCCTCGGCGGGAAGCGCTTCCGTGAGGTGCGGGTCTCCTCCCTGGAGATGTCCATAAGCCCTGCTCTGGGCGGTGCTCGGCGCTGGGGTGCTGCGTCCCTGCAGACACGTTTACCGGCACTGAGCTGCGCTTTGAGCGTGTTGTTGCTTGTCTAAAATCCAAACGTTGAAGGGAACGGCATGTGTGGTTTTTCCCTTTGTTTGCTGCGAGGCAGACTCGAGGAGTGACACTCATCCCTGCACAGTGCACCTTATTATTTCCACGTGGTAACGATTTCACAAAGAGTAAAAAAATGCAGATGCATGTAGTGTTTTTTCAGTATGCACAACTTAATTTTCTAGTCAGTGGATACAACTGCCTTCAATACGCAGCTTTGTAAAACGGTAATAAAGTGTATCTCCAAATTTAGTAGCCTGATACGCAAAGGCTACAGTAACACTCAAAATGCATACAAAAACATCACCTCATCATTCTACTGGGAAAAAAAACAACAGCATGTCTAGTTGCATTACTTAGGGTTTGAATTAGTACTAAGTTGCGTAGTATTTCAGCTTTAATTGTTTGGGTATCCTTCATCTGATGGATGCACGCAGGCAGCACGAGGAAGCACACAGTTCCTGTTCCTCTGACAGAGGTGTCTGAATGCCCTGTGCACGTGTCTTAGTGCTTTGTGTAAATGCAGGCCTTGTGTGGAACACTGATGTTCAGGACAAGTCAAATACTTTGTACCAGTTAAACTGAGAACGCTACAATACCTTGAAAAAATACACAGTCCAGGAATGAGAGTACAATAGAATCACAGAATGGCTTGGGTTGGAAGGATCATGAATCTCCAACCCCTCGCATGCTGGGCTGCCAACCTCCCATTTCATACTAGACCAGGCTGCCCAGGGCCCCATCCAATCTGGCCTCGAACACCTCCAGGGACGGGACATCCACAACCTCTCTGGGCAGCCTGTTCCAGCACCTCACCACTCTCTCTGTAAAGAATTTCCCCCTGATGTCCAACCTAAATCTCCCCTCCCTCAACTTAAAACCATGTCCCCTCATCCTGCAGTTACGAACCCTTTCAAAGAGTTGATTCCCCTCCTGTTTGTAGGCTCTCTTTAGATACTGAAAGACTGCAGTAAGGTCACCCCACAGCCTTCTTTTCTCCAGGCTGACAAGCCCAGCTTCCTCAGCCCACCTTTATACGGGAGGTGCTCCAGCCCTCTGATCATCTTTGTGGCCCTCCTCTGGACCCTCTCCAACAGCCCGTCTTTCTTGTATTGGAGGCCCCAGACCTGTTCACAGTACTCCAGATGGGGCCTCACAAGAGCAGAGTAGAGAGGGACAATCGCCTCCCTGTCCCTGCTGACCACCCCTCTTCTGATGGAGCCCAGGATACCATTTGCCTCCTCAACTGCAAGAACACACTGCTAGCTCATGTTAAGCTTTTCATCCACCAGGACCCCCAGATCCTTCTCTGCAGGGCTAAAGAAAAGCAATACAGCCTCTGAGAAATGCTACTGGCCTTGTCCCGCTGCACACACTGGCAGTAGTGCTTTATATTCAGGTTAATACAGACTGGGGTCATGGCCTGACACAGAAGCTTTGTCAGAGATGCTGCAGAAGAGCCAAGCTCCTGGGTTACACTGCCAAGGGAGGGGTGAGACTGAAGATGGGTAGTGTAGGAGCACACACTGTCAAGTCTCAGCCTGAGCCTCAGCATTAATGTAAATACAAAGCAAAACTTCCATCTCAGGAGGTGCAGGTCAGTCTGGCTTGGCTCCTAAGCACGTGCCTAGTTTCAGCTCATGGAGATGCCAGTCCGGCACACAAAGGGCATTTGCCTAACAGTAAATAAAAAGTCATATTTTCACTGGCTTGGTCTGTAGCAGCAGCACCTTTGAGGTTCAACCCACCATTGCATTTGGAATGAAAAACGACACTGATTATCATTAGAACTGAAGTTTTTTGCATTTATTAAGGAGTAAAGGTGTCAGTTTGATGCCTCTATCCACTATGTGAGGATCCTGTCCAACTGATTGAAATTTATAGTTTTTTTTAAAAAAAAGATCTTAATGGAGTTCACTCAGGTCTGTAGGGCAGAATAATGTACTTAGTGCTTAGCTTTTCACCTGAGATTTTCCACTAACCTTACTTGCAGCAAAAATTTTCTCAGTGCAGTATGATATTGGAAAAATTCTCTGATATTATCAAAAAAGGAGACTTAACAAATACCAAATATCAACATAAATGCCAACAACTGGGAAGCTTAAATACTGAGGGGACATTATACATGGACACTTCTTATACTTCTGCTACTATATATTCCCTCATTGTGCAAAGATTTATTGTTTTTTTTTTATTTGTTTTTCCATTAAAAAATAAGATAGTGCTAAAATATTAAGGTAGCAGTCTGTTTTCCATCAAACAAATGTTTCTTCATGAAATTAAGATCACTGATTACTGCATGTCTATTTTATATAGTTTTAAAATAAGGATTAAAGTTCAACTCCCTTATCTTCTGTAAATTATTGCACTTGTGCATTATGGACTGTCAAATGGTCTATACATGTCCTGCAAAAGAACAGCAGCAGTTTGATGTAGAATATTAAAAGAAAAAATATGCTATATAAAAATAAAATCATTCATTAAACTACTTAAACTTCTATATTTCATAGTTAAAAACCTTTATACTAGGTGACATTTTGACTCTCTTACTTGCATTCAGTAGCATCCATTAAGTAACCCATTAAGTACTTGAGAACTAAGGTTTTCATTGATTCAGTGTGGGTCCCAATCTACCTCTTGATGAAAGATATATAGCCAAAATCATCATCTTCTATATACTTCATTTTAGGGAAAATCATTAATAGTAGTGCATGGTTTGCTACAATGGGCTTAATACAGAGCTAATGAACCCATATCCAAACATATCTGCTAACGAAGGTTACTGTATTCAAAGTTTTTTTGTGTGGTTCAGTGCAGTTTCCTGTTCATGTGGCTGTTTCACCTGTCACCCATTTCAGCTATCCATCAACCTGTAGCAATTTAAGGAACTGCCTGGAAAGAACAATCCAGGTATGTTTTTCAAGATGATCACACAAATGTTCTAGAATTGCCAAACCTTGGCCAGCTAGAACTCTCACCCTCTCACTAGGCATTGTGCAAATAGATTAGAAGAGGCCTGTGATCCAAAGATTTTGGTCTCCTCAACTTCTGAGGGTAGAGCACAAAGCAGCTTTTCTTCCTGTACACACTGACATAACGTAATGCATCTTCTGCCTGACTAGCCCCAGAACTGAATACATTTCATAACAGTCCTCTGATATTTTTTTTTTTTCCAACGTATCATACTGGAAAGTGCTTGCTGAATCGAGGTCCAGAATACTTCAGAGATAGTATTAGCTAAAATTTGGAGAATTCTAGAGATCTGTATCATTCAGACAAAGAATCATTGTTTTCTTCAAGAGCCGAGATTGGTTTCATTGCAGAAAATGCTTATATAGTACTGGTGCATAAATATTGCAGTGAGTAAGACAGTGCCAGCAGTCCATCTTCATGATGCAAGTCTGCGCATAGCCTAGTGAAACATTGAGAGGGTGGAGAGAAACAGTTAGTTCTGAGCTTGCACATTTATTTGAAAAATAAAAAGTTTGTGTATGTTAACTGCACGGGGACTATTGTTCAACGTAGCCTCACTGAGGGTAACTGTGAAAGGCCTGTTCTGAAGCAACTGCCCTTTGACTTGTGTCTGCATCAGTCAATTCAAGAAGCTGCAGGTTTGAAGGCATCTGGTCCTATGCAACTACAGCTTCCTGTAAAATGCTTAATTTATGCAAGAAGATGCCCATTGTGTTCAAGAAGAAATGAATGGGGGAGGCTGCCTGTTATTTTGGGCTTGGATGCCTGAAGCCTTTGTAAGTCCTACGCAGTCCTAGAAGTAGTCCTAAAGTGACAGAGATCGGGAGGTGCTGTACACTACTGTAAACTATAATCTACTACATTTCAAAAAAAAAAGAAAAAAAAACCAAGAACCTGAATTCCTCCACTACGCATTGACATCCAGGTGGCCAGGGTGGGTATTTATTTATGAAGAAGGAAAGCATTGAGGGTTTGGTTCTACAGGCCTAACAGCATGGCTCAGTGCTATAAAGGAATAAAACCAGCAGTATTCTATAGATAACAGATACATTCAGATCTAAAGTCCATACCTCTTCCTGAACATCAAGCTCATCAGCAGGCCGGATTGTTTCTGTGAATTCTATAGGTTCTTTAGATTCTTGCATGAGTGAAATCTTGGTAGAAAGAAGAAAGCATGATGAGTTACATGTTTTCTGTATAACTGAAGTTGATTTATTATTCTGAATTATCTCTATATAACTTCAACAGCAACAGTCTTACAAGTCTGTTGTTCACTGTTCTTTGACAAAGCTGAAAGAAATGTGTATGTTGGAAAGCTTATGGTAATGTCTCTCTCATATGACTAGTTACAACTTTGTAAAAATAATAAAAGCAAAATCTATCTCTAATTGCTGTATAGCTCTGACAAAATGTTAATCTCTACTATGCTACAGTAAAAACGTCTAGATCCCGGATAGTAAGCAAAAATTAGCAACAAAAAATAAGGATCTTTTCCTAGTTATTTATCCCTAATGTTGATGTTAGAAACCATTTATTCATAACACTACGATAGAGATTGTTAGGGAAGGAATTGTGGTGCAAAGAAACAAAACCACCATCGGGCTGTTTTCATAATGTAAGCCCACATCTTTAAACATCACAGAATGTTCTGGTTGTCTTGAAAACCGGAATACAACTACAGCGTGCACAGAGAAGGGCAGTAGGAATGATCACTATCCT